CAGGGGGTCTGCTTCTCCCTCTGCCCTCTTCCCTCTCGTGCTCTCTCTCTCTTTCTCTCTCTCTCAAATAAATAAATAAAATCTTTAAAAAAAAAAAGGATATCCTTTGGGGGGGACTTTTTCTCACAAAGAAACAAATAAAAAAATCTTTTAAAATTTTTAAGGCATGGAAGTCACTACGTACTAACTTATTAAGTCATTCAACACACATCTGGTGGGGGACATGCTGGGTGCTGGGATGCAGTTCCACTCACGGAGCTTCCTTCTGGTTGAGCCCATCCCCCTGGCCTGTCTCTCGTAGTCAGTAGTCAGGGCCGGTGGTTTGCAAGACAACTAACACCCCTCCCGGGTGACACTCCCACTTGCCACCATCCAGCCAGGGCAGTGTTGGGCCTGCTCGGACAGAAACAGAAGTACGTGCCTGACCTCCTGGGCGGGGACCAACAGGAGCCAGGGTGGGCCTACCTAAGGGTGGAGATCCTGAGAGCTCGGGATCAGAGTGAGGAAAACCTATAGTGGTAGAATGACTGTCTCCCTCGAAGAAAGGAGCGCCATGTGGTGTAGACCATGGTCTATACCACACACGGCCTGGCCTATTTACTGGTGACAGAAAGGTGCCCCCCACCCCTCCGGCAGTGGGCCCAGAGCAGGAAAGGGCCGAGAGGCAGGACCAGGCTGCAGTGTAGGCAACTCCTCGCCTTGGACCACTTGCCTCAGGAGACCCCACGGCAGTAGAGACATCCATGATGGGGAAGGATGTCATGTGGTTTATGGCAAGCCCCGGGAAGGGGATCCGAGCAGAGGCCCCTAAGTCCCGGAGCAGGACCACGCCTCTGCAGCGGAGAACTCTATGTCATTCCAGAACCAGCTCCTGCCAGGCAGCTGGGCTCCGTGCAGACAGAGCAGCTGAGCCGACCACCCCGTGCCCAGGCAGCGGAGGGGTGACCCGGGCTTCCTCAGACCTGCCATTGGGAGCCGGGGGGCAGGGTGGGGGGCTCCAGAGCAAGCTGTCCTTGAGTGGAGGTGGCACCCTCAGGAGTGAGCACAGAGGGAGCTGCCTCTGAGAGGCCCGCTAGGCGGGGACTCACCCACTAGTGTCCATGGTCTGCAGCCGCTGAAACAACGTCTCCGAAAGGCTTGGCCTGCTGACCTCGGTGGCTCTCGGATTCTCGCTCGACAGAGGGACCTCCTTGGCCTCACATGGCCCGGCAGATACAGGGATGTTCCTCGGTGGCAGCTCGGGTGGAGACAGGACACCTTCTACCCAAGAGAAGAGCAATAATGCCATCTGGTCTACGCACTAGCTTCTCTCAGAATCACCCACCTACAGAGGGCTCCCTTGTGGAGTGACCCCTCCCCGACCCACGAGGTCCATCCAGGCCACGGTGCCCAGTTACAGACCCCATCTGTGCCTGCGCTGTCCCTCCTGTCTCCACTCCCTGACTGCACGGGGAGCCTGCTGATGGCAGGAACCTCATCTTGGTGGTCTTTAACCCTGGGGTTTCGTTTGTCCCTCGGAGGTGCTCAGCAACCTTGGACAACCTTGGACAGGTGGAGCCCACAGCCCCAGAAGGATGGCCAGCTTTCAGGGCTGAGGCAGGGGCCCTGGATGAGGCAGAGGCCCGGTTCCCAGGACACGGAGAGCAAGGGTGGGGAGCAGGCAGGCCCGGGCCACGCTGCTCCTCTCTCTCCCACCCTGACCTCCCTTTCCTCTGCTTTCCCTCCAGCCTCTGCTGATCTTTCTCTCCCCTCCCAGGCCCTAGGAGACAAATAAAAGAACGTGAAGGGCCCCCTTCACGAAGAGAACTGAAATAGAAAACAAACAACTGAATTCGGCCCCGGGAGAAGGGACTCCTGCCCGTCTGCCTTCAGGAGAACTTCTGTCCTGCACACACGACAAATGGGGAGGGTGCTGAGCCTCTTGGGTCCACGACCTCCTACCGGAGCCTCTTCCCACACCAAATGGCCATGCCAGGGCCCCCGCCACAGAGCTGCATGGGATGTTCTCTTTAAGGATAAGCTCTTCACATCCTCCCCTGGCCTGAGGTTCTTGCGATGGTATGAGTGTGTTTTGAGCCCTGTGGGAACGGCAGCACCTTGAGAAGACCTGAGCCAAATCAGACCCCTTGGACCAAGGTGGGGGGCGGTGGGGGTGAAGGCCACACTGCTCAGGTTCAAGCCGACAACTGCGCCTCCTTTGGGGAAGTGAAGCCAGCAGTCACAAGACTGGGTTTCTCTTCCCGGCTGTTACGGAAGGTGCCGGGGGCTTTCTCCAGATGGTCATCCAGAAAGGCAGAAGAGCCAGGCCAGCAGGTGTGAGGGAGGGGAGGCCACAGCATGTGAAGGGCATCTCTGCAGGATGGCTCTTTGGCATCAAGGCCAAAGCTCGGGCACCTGGGGACAGCTGGCGGACACGTGGCCACGGCACAGAGCCGGTGAGTGACCCGGGCTCCCGTGGGGACCCGTCAGCTCTTGCTATTTCTGATGAGGGGTGAGAAGGGGCATGGGCTGCCTAGGTCCCTCTCAGCCTCCATGAAGCTGCGGTCCTTTTGAAACACTCTGCCCGGCCCTCACCTCCTCTACAGAGAAGCCTGCTCGTCAGCATTCCCCCTCCGCCCCGGCAGCCAGTGAGCTGTGCAGCCACTCAGAAGGGGCCTCCCGGAAGGTGGGCGGCAGGTGGGCCAGTGGCCCACAAGCCGGCTTGCGGGGTGCACCTGGCTGGAGCAGCCCATAGGGAAAGGCAGGTGCCAGCCCAGGGACCTCAGCATGTCTGGGGGCGGCCCCGGGGGGACCTAATTGTTTCCAGGCCCTGGGATTTAGGAGGAGCTCTGACCAGGGGAGAGGCTCAATTCCGTATCTTAGGTTTTCCGTTAGGAAGTGAATTTCTGAGGGGAGAAGAAGGGCGCCGTCCAGGAAGGTCCATGCTACCGTGCCCTCCTCCGTCGGACCCCTGTTTGATTGCTCTGTGGCTCCCCCCACTGTTTTAAGGGGAGGCTGGACTCTCACATACTTTCTAGGGGCTGTACTTTTTATTTTCCTTTTAAAGATGATATAAAGAAACGCTTCTCTCCCCCTTCCAGTTAGGTACAAGCATTTCCTCCTTCATTCTCTTTACAGCGAAATGCAGCTGATTATTTTGATGAGGATGGTAGCTGCATTTATTGAGTGCTTCTTGTGTGCTAGGATCCAGGCTCTACAGTCATTGCCTCCTGTGATGACACCCTGAGAGGTAGATATTAGTTTTAGTGTCTCTTTAAGAGAAGTCTGTGATTCAGAGAGGTTAAGCAATTTACCCAAGGTCACACAGCTAAGAAGCTGGGGAGCAGGAAGTCCGATCCAGGTCTGTCTGATGATCCCAGAGCCTGCTTTCCTAACTTGTCCTTGGTCACCATGTCACCCTCTCTCCCTCTGATAATCGGACCCACCTAATCTACAAGCACTTGTGGCAAAAGAAACACCCCAGGACTTCTTCCCCTTAGTGCCCCCCTCCTGCCTTCCCTTCCATCCCTTCCTACCTGTCTCATCCTCTGGCTCATCACCTGCATCCTCCTCCTCCAGGGGCACAGGATACTGCAGGTGGGTCACCAGACCCATGTTTTCTTTCTTGTAGAACTCGATGAGCTGGTCCAGCTTGGTGAAGAACTTCATGGGGACACCTTCGGATGCCTGAGGACAGAACCCCAAACTGAAGTACATTTCAACTGGCCAGGACTCCACCTAACCACAAAGGCCATCTGCAGCGGAGACCAACGAGGCTGAGGGAGTGACCTCGATCCAGAAAAAGCCCTGGGCTCCCACGCAGTGTCTGTCCACCACACCCACACCCTCACATCCTGTAGCCAAGCCAGCAGCCCCGAGCACCGGTCTGCACAAGGCACAAATAGGACAGTTTTAAAGATTCTTTTCCTTTTTTTTTTTAACTCTTATTTTTATTTTTTAAAAGATTTTTATTTATTTATTTATTTATTAGAGAAAGAGAGTGCATGCAAGCACAAGCAGGGGGAGCAGCAGAGGGAAAGGGAGAAGCAGGCTCCCCACTGAGCAGGGAGCCTGACATGGGGCTCCATCCCAGGACCCTGGGACCATGACCCGAGCTGAAGGCAGACGCTTAACGACTAAGCCACCCAGGCACCCCCCATTTTTAACTTTTATTTTAAAAAGCATTTTATTGGGCGCCTGGGTGGCTCAGTCGTTGAGCGTCTGCCTTCGGCTCAGGTCATGATCCCAGGGTCCTGGGATCGAGTCCCACATCGGGCTCCCTGCTCTGCGGGAAGCCTGCTTCTCCCTCTCCCACTCCCCCGGCTGGTGTTCCTGCTCTCGCT